ATATTGTAAAAGTTAACTATAACTGAATAAAAGGAGCCGGCCAAGAGGCCACCTTAACACCAAAAAAAAAAAAAAAAAAAAAAGAATTAATTATTTTAAATTATATTATATTATTTAATTAATAATTTTACTACCTGTTTTTTTTTTCTTAAATCAAATCGTATCTTCTCTACGAATAAGTAGAAATTCTCAAAAAAACGTAACTTTGTTGTTCTGGACAAGAATTACAAATCTATTTTTTTTTTTTTTTGAGAACTCTGCTTATTCGTCGAGGAAATACAATTTTGGATGTCTTTAGATGATTTGCACCATAAATCTAACAATATATTAATTATAAAATAAATAAAATAAATATATAAGGATTACGGTTGCTCTGGTCCTATCTCTAGACAAACTAGTACTCAACAAGCTGATGGCATCTTTGGGCACGGTCAGCCAAACCGACTGTGCCTTATGGAAAAACCATGATGAAAATAGAGGCACACTGGGGTGTCCTTAAATGACTTTACTTACAGCGCTTTAACCAGCCTAGGCTAGACCTCTTAGTATAGACACTTCTTGATAAAGTAATTCCATCGCAGAAGGATCGGTTTTTGCAAATTTGAAGTAGAATAATAAAACCATACTAGTGGAAGGACTTCAAGAAGGCGTGGACTTATGCAGGTGCAAGTGATGAAGAATGAGCAAAGATGCGTGCTAATAGATATGATAAGAAAAGAAAAAGGGGTATTGATGAAGAAACAACTAATTCAGGTAGTTCTAGATCATACTTTACAGATATTTCTCATTAGATATGTAGTTGTCCTAGTTTCATTAGAAATCGTTTCTTGTTATGTAAGCATTTGGTTTGACAATACGTAAATACGCCTGATGGAAAAGATGACGTTTGATTAGAAGTGAGTTTGAGTGTCGTACTACACTACCTTTCTTTATTATCAATAATCTTAATACTGATATCCAGAGGCTCAAGTTCAAGTTTCTGAATCTTCTATTGACAACTCACCAGATAACCATGCCATTGATATAGATGAAGATCAGGATGAAAAGGCTTGTGTTTATGTTGAATCAAACTGGAAGTTGTTTAAGCAAGCATTTCAACAGATCTGTTCAGAAAAGTCTGTCAATAATTGGTGACAAGTTAGTACCATGATGAAATATAGTCACCTAACACAAATAGAAGAAGATATTCAAACCATTGAGAGCCGTAAAAAACGACAAGCAACTTGGAAATCAGAAAATAGTAGAAAACTGTATCTTATGTATTTGTCTCTTCTAGAAGAGCAAGTAGAAAATATTAATGATTTGTATGATTGATTTATAATATAATTAAAAAAAAATAGAAGATAGCTAAAATCGTTATACGTATCCTTATATTAAGTTAATCTAGTCTTGTATTTTGAAAATTTTCTCCTTTAAAAATAAAATAATATTTAATATGAACCTATTTATAAAAATTAAAGGTGATGTTGTTAATCAGATCTTTTTTTTTTTTAGCTAAGAGCAGAATTTTCTAAAAACTTCAATTGACAAAATTTTAATTATTAGCGGCTAGCATCAGATCATCACTGTTGATTTGTTAGATCATCACCCGAACTTCGGGGGTGCTTCTGGCTGATTCGTTTTTGCTGATCTCTGTGATTCTAATATTCTAGTTGACAAATCTCAAGCCCGATATAAAGGAATGTTAATAGATTTCGATTGGGCCAGTAAAGATGAAATTGAGTACTATCTATCTTTTATGAATCATAAATATATTAATTGGCCACCAGGGGCTAAAGATAAGAAGAAACTGTATCGAAAACACGATATTTATTGGTTGGAGCTGTTGAAATCTAAATACTTGAGTGAGAGTGTAGATCTTGAATGACTACAGTAGTTAGTATAGTATTTGAGGATAAAGTAGAAAACAAACAATTATGTTTATCAAGCTATGCATGTATTTAATATAATTTGTTTTTAATGATATAATAATAAACGAATCCTTGGGTTAATCATATTAATACATTTTGGAAATATTCCTATCTCTCTTGATCTTATTTGGAGAATTAAAATATTTATTACCTGCTCTATTGATTATGAATTTTGGGTGAAAATTTTAATTTTTGATTTATTATAGAATTTATTTGGGCAGAAATTAGTCGGATCAGATAATCTTAATATACATATTTATTATTTGAAAACATTTACGTATACCTCTATAAAAGTATGCCCTTATGATTGAGCTATTTTAACGATACTAGCAAGTTGATAAATAATAAAATTTACAGTAAGTTTTTAGCGATGATTGAGATAGAATTTATGCATTTTATTTTTTGCTGTACAATAGAGCTGGTCCTGGTAGCTGATTTCACATACATAATCGCGTTTACTTTTGCATGTGTATATTGAGTGAATTTATTTTATTGTATTGTTATTAATGTATATTACTTGCATATGATCAAGAATTTTTCCACGCAGTCATGTATTTTGGATTTATTTATTTTTTGTATTTATATAGCATGTATCTCTAATTATGTTAAAAAATTTTATCACATGAATATATATCTTATATATCTTCATGATAAAAGAATTAAATATATTTACATTTTATGTAAAAAATAGCAGATTCACAAACTACAATTGCTTCGTTAAGAGAATTAAATTCTAAACTTACACTCGAGATTGCCAAACTTAGAAAGAAATATGCTAAGATTGAGGCAGAGAATATAACATTAAAACAGATTATGGAAGAGAATACCGAATTTAAGACTAGATTCGAAGAACAAGATAGGAAAAATAAAACAAATATCGCAAACCTTATAAACGAGAATACTGAACTCAAATCTAGAGTTTCGAAATTAGAACAAAAGTTATCACAAAATGACGAAGAAAAAGGCGACCTTATTGCTAAATTAGATGATGATACTGCATTTTACAAAATGAATTCTGATAATACCCCTGAATAGATAGAAAATATATCTGATAATATTTCTAATTCTGATATATATCAAGAGTCAAATATTCAATACCCTGAACCACTTATTCGTACGAAGTTTGAATCTTGTAAAGATAAAGAGATCGAATTCCTAGATCATGTACATAAAGAAACTATTAGCACTGAGATAAGAGAGAGAAATAGAAAAAAAAAGCTATTACAAACTAACAATACTTCTATTTCTCAATCTGAGAATTTATCTTTAGTTAATATATCCAAGTTACCAGCTAATCTTGAAATATATCCATCAAACCATGATCAGAATTCAGAATCGACTATACTTAATAACTCTAATAATGAAGTTATTATCAAGTTGGATAAAAATCTAATTACGGAACAGGAATTAAAACAACAACTGTTAGCATCTATACCTACTCTCATAATCTCAGATCAGCTTCAGGATCGAGACTCATCTTCAGTTACAGCAGAAAGCATTTTATAAGGCCATTCAATCGGGACAAGAAGAGATACTTTACTAGTATTATTTTATCGAAAAATATGACAAAAAAATCGATGAGATTGTTATTAGTAGAATTAAAAGAAAAACTGCAATATCTATGGTATATCAAGAAATAAAACTGCTTTTACCTGATATTACTGATGTTAATTTGCGTCAAAAAATCTTTAGAGCTAGAAAATTATATAAATTATTTAATGCATTAGGAATAGAAAAAATTAAACTAGTTTCTTATAGTGCAGATGCTATCTCAAGTCTCAGCTACTAACAAATCCAAAATATTATAGATCATGTGACTGAAAACCGTGAAGATTTTCTTCATGATCAGAGTCATGTGACTGAAAACCGTGAAGATTTTCTTCACGATCAGAGTTATGCGACTTAAAAATTAATCTGACTAATATATATATTCCTTCAAAAGTACCTCAATCTAAGTTAATAAATGACCGCACCTATTTTCACAACAAGGTATTGGATCAATATCAAAATTTATATAGAGAATTTAGTAGTGAAAATTTTGATTATTATAGCATTACTGATGAGACATCATGCTATTATGCAAGTTAGATCATAATGATAAGGATGGTGTGAAGGGCAAATATGAAACCGGATCCTATTATATCAAATGTGAACAGCGTGGAGTTGAAATTGAGGTAACGGCATAAAGCACAATAACATGAAAAATTAAAATTATTTGCTCTTTGAAAGATTTATTTTTCCTAATACTCATTACGTGATTTTGAATTAACACATATTTTTTATATGATAACATGGCTTCTACCTCTGATAAGAAAATACTAACTGATAACTATCTTAAATGGCATGCTAAATTGACTTTACCGGCTATTTTAACAGATAAAAAAAATTATTCTAGACTATATAAAAGATATAAAGAAGAGACTGGAGAAGATCCTTGGCAATATATTGATTCTCCTGGATCCTCCCAAATCGAAGATAGCAAAAATGAAACAGAGGTATGCATATTATCTATAAACAAAAATGCATCTCTCAATTCTCGTCTTTCAATTTCTATCTTACTCGATGATCCAGAAGAAAAATGAAATCTTGTTATTTATACCACATTGAAGCAATTCGATAATTTATCTCTTAAGCATAGCAATAAATATAGCGATTATTATAATTATTCAGGAATATGTCCTGCATGTAATGAAGAGCATAAAGAAGATGATGTAGAAGGTCGGTGGGGTGATGGTAATTATGGAGAAAAAACTTATCGTCTCTATTGTTGTAAAAGAACTTTTAGTGGAATCCTCATAGTAAATGTGAAAAAAGAAAATCTAAAAAAAAAATGAAAAGACTTTATCAGCAAGGTATTGGAACAGAATCCCGGTATATCTTTGAGTCACAGTACTGATTCTGATGATATATATCGATGCAATACTTCATTATGTCCATCATGTAAGCAAAACTATAAAGACAATATCGTAGGCTAGTTTGTGAGGGGGTTCTATAATATTGGTAATAAAAGAGGTCATATCCTAGCTTCATATAATTCTGGATTATCAAATAGTAAGAATTTTTCTTGTGCTAATCTTTAAGTAGCAACTTGTTGTGTACTAACTGTTTCTGTTTGATATTTATAATACAACCAAATAATGAAACAGGCTGGAGTATCAATATTATTACCAGCATGTTGAGCAGGTATATTTGTATATTTTCCAGCCATCTTACTTTTTAAAATATCTGCTCGAAGCAGATTATCAAAGTCTTTTATTAGGAGTTGCTAATGCTAATGCCAATATTTTAGGACTTCTTAAAGATCATTTATCAAGAGAGCTTTATACTTGGATGAAAATTGCTAATCCTGCTGGCATTAATGCATTTTTTACAGAACTTAAAAATATGTAGTTAGAATATCCTCCAAATTTGTATAAAGGCTCCATTCCTGACCAAATCTCTCAAACTTTAGCTGTTAATATACAAAATAAATCACATTCCGATAGTAGTGATATATCTCGAGCTGAACTAGATAGTATAATAAAATCACAATTAGCTTTAGTATCAACTACTTCTATTCAGTCTTCACAGCTCCAGAAAACACAAGCTTTACAGTCTCAGCAAAAGCAAACCGATTTCAGTGACTATCTTAGAGTACTAGATAAATATATATCAGAAAGACTACCAGATGGGTATGGCATAAATTCTGAAAAATTTATTCATTGTGATCTTATAAACCCAACTCCTTCAGCCAGCCAAATTATAGAATCTTTAGCT